ATATTTCCCACACTCTCAATAGTTGATTGATAAAATACCTAATAGGAAGTTTTGCGGCTAGACTATAATCAACAAGCATGGTAATATCATGAGATTCTTCATCATGCACAAACAGCAAGTACAATCATTCAAGAAAACTGTATTACCTGCTGGTATGTTGTCTTTTGTATATGTATGTGTTTGAATAGAAAAACAATAAAAAGAAATTGAAAAGGAAACAATATTACCTGCTGATATTGGAAAACAATCACTTTATTTGATCATTTGTGGTGAGTGTGTTTTTTTTTATTTGTTTTCAATAATGGTTCAAACACCCTGGCTGAGTTTGCCTAGAAGAAGGATTTATCTCAACCTACAGTTACCAGTCAGTCATTTCTGCTTCCCCCTAAAGAGACCCTTGCCAATTATGATCTTTCCTCTATACAAAAGTTAGCCTGATGACAAGTTACATATTTGTAGAAAAATGTTTTGTAGGATTGTTTGGTGCCGGGATCATGTATATATGGACACAATCTAATGTTTGTAAGAAGATTTACACTCCAATGGTGGGTTTAAAAGCTTACTGTAAGTAAACCAGTAAAATTCTACTCTTAATTAACAAAATAGTGACATGAAAATTATTCTCTACACTAATCAGAAACACATTTCTCAAAAATATAATTAAAAGAAATATGAGAGTCTAGTAAGGTTCTATGAAAGTGAAAGGCTTTAGAGTCCTGGGCTTCTGGAATGGACCAAGGGCCAGCGTCCTCCCTACCGAATATGGACCTGGATCTAGAAATAAGTTCTGTTTTTGGCAGATAGGTACAAGGGGGATGTTTGGACTACTTCTTAACCTTGTTACGGGGTGCCACATTTCCCCATTTACTTGAGATTTTGGACATGTGGACTATGGAGCTTGTTATAGGAGGCCATTTCAGGAGCCGGTATCTTCGTTTCACAAACCCTATCACGCAGTTCTGAAGTGTGACAATATGGAATGCAGCAGCACACAAGGAGTTAACTCTGAACCTGGACTTCTATTTACATTGTCATCGTCTCTTTGTCCATTTGTATGATTGTGATAATACTGAGATTAACATTACAATAGGTGCAGCTGAGTGAATTAACATACTACAGACACTCAGGAAACAGTTAATCTCGTTATAACTGTTATTGATTGAGTTTATTCTCACCCCATCCAATGTATATACTTTGGCTATTCAAAGTGTCAAGGCTTAAAGGGAAAAAGATTGATATCGGCTCCAGACTTCCAGGCACTGGGGAGGGATGATGATTGCTTTTAGTGTTTAATGTTTTGATTGTATACTTTTTTTACCCATCCAAAACTGTTTAAATACTGTGTTGGGTCTCAATAAAGCTATTTCTGCTCTACATTAAACCACGACTTGACTGGTTCCTGGGTAGAACTGCACAACCCCACATCAAGCAGGGCTGATGGCTGGGTGTAAACGTTATGATGACTGTGTTTGGAACCCGATGGAAGACTTTGGATTGGGTTGATAGTGAGAGGAAGCTGTGAACTTAGTGCAAATACCCAGCCGGGGTACTGAGATCCATTGTTCTGGGAAGGTTTTACACAAGATTTAGGAGGGTGTCTGTAGACATTTGAGCCTATTGTGCCAAAAAGCATTTATGAGGTGAGATACTGATGTTGGACAAGTCATAGCAATTCATCCTAAATGTGTTCAGTGGTGTTTAGGTCAAGGATCTGTGTAGGCACAAGATCCTTGTCAACATATGTATTTATGGAGATTGAAGAGGGGCACAGTCATGGGGAACATAAAACAATTGCCACAAGGTTAGAGGCACTCAATTATCTAAAACATCTTAGTATACTTTAGAATTAATAGTACCCTTTACTGAAAACACCTGAACTCAAAAACTTGGTGGGATGGCCACAGACCCATGGGCATATTGTAGGTATAATGGTTGGGTGTCCACAAATCATTCCCATTGCAGACATTGGAATACTATCATCTAATTTTAAACTTCCCTCAGTGGTCTATTGGAGCATGCTCTCTAAAGTAAATTCTGCAAAAGTATGAGAAATTAAATAGGTGACAATGTACTTTTTGAATGAATGAGACAGTTGTCCCAAAGTATTTTATGGGATGTGTGTCCATTTAAGTAGTGATTTTCTACATATTCACTTTGCAGTTACATGACTTAAGTCAGGGGTAGGCAACCTTTTGACACTTCAGATGTTGCAGACTACATTTCTTATAATGCTCTTACAGCCATAATGCTGGCAAAGCATTAGCAGAGATGTAGTTCACAACATCTTGTTGGATGAAGGTTGTCTACCATATAAACAGCTATGTTTCCATGTTTACCCCTTACCTCTCTGATGCAACTTTAACCCCCTGACATGAATCTTTCTGGTGCAATGTTAGTTATTGGTTTCCTATATTTCCCCTAAAACACCCACAAATTGTCTCTTTCCAGCACAACAGTTTATTTTAATTTACAGTTAATTACTGAGTGCAGACTGAGGACACCGGGACAAACATATTTGTAATATCTCAGTAGGCAAAAGTACACATATTTAATAAAACATCGTATGCAATATCCACCAAACTGGCACCAACAGGGAACAAATGAATCTAGTTGTATGTAAGATTTAATACGTGGTATAAAGTCAGTGTGGTTTAATAACATATAATGTGCAGTATCTCCTAAACCAAAGTGGAACAAACGTTCTTCTTTTTGCAGCACAAATGAATGGTGCCAACCTTACACAGCTCCTCCATGAAAACCTTTTGGTTAGAGAGTTCAGCAGCTGAAGCTAAAGTTTCAAAA